TACCCATCAAGGAGTCCTCCGATTCCCGGTCCTGTGGGGACCATCAGGGGCGGGAAGCACATGCGATCATTTCCTGGAATTTGAACAGCCCAGTCGCTTTTCGGCGGGGAAATCGTCTCGGAAAACCAGCGCCAACCCAAAATATTTGAAATTTGAATTTTGAATTTTGAATTTTCAAAAAACGGTGGTCCAAAGCGGGTGAATCTTCTCGAAGTCGGGTACAGAGCCGCCGATTTAACGTGCCGTTTCGTCTCCCCGAGAGGTTATGATTGCAAATCATTTCAGCCGCCACGTGTCATTTCTTCATTCGCCCGTCTGGGCGGCATCTCTCCTATATAAAGCGTCGTTCTCCTTGGAAAGGTCTTCCCACCAAGGTCGAGCATTCCTTTGTGGTCTTCCACCCTCCAACAAGAAGTGGAAAGACAAATATGTCTGCGTCAAATTCCCCCCGGGTGCCTTTCCTTTTGCCCAAAACGTCTGGGGGAAAAGAATGAAGCGCCATGTCAAACCAGCGGAGGCCGATGACCTGGTTGCTTGGGAAGCCACTCTCCGGGCCGGGGATGCCTCCACCCGCGGTCTGTACCATGTTGGGAAGTGGAGCGTCTACCCCGGCCGGGAGACCGACCCCGAACCGGAGATTGTTCTGCCCGGGGTGATCCCCGAAGCCATCCCCATTCGTCAGGCGAGGGGATCCAAAGCCCCGGCCACTACCAATGCCGGTCCTTCATGCCCGGCGAAGAAGAAGAAGGAGGAAGGTCAATCAACCGCCCTTCTCATTTTTCATTTGAATTAATTTGTTCTCAACTGCATTCTTCTAACCGGTTCCTTTTTTTTTGTTTCAGTGGTGAAGTTTCAATCCAAGTTTGCCGTCCCCCAAATCGTGGTTGAGGAGCCCTCCTCCGCTCAGCCACTCACTCCTCCATCCAGCCAACCACTCTTGATGGATGATCTGCCGGCCCAGTCTCACCAAGGGACCAGCCAGCCGATTCACTCGGGGGAGATCTACTTCAACGTAGACACCTTCGA